ATATCCATGGCCTTCAACAAAAATGTTTCTTCCTTTTGTGTATGCGTCCACGAAGACCTGGATGTTTCTTGATTTGCTTGGTGCCGAGGTTGTGTGAAACATGGGATCCTCTTGAATCCTTCATAAGCAGCTGATCACTCTTGAGAAATACCAACGGCTTTTCCACCCTCAAAAGTGGGCCAAGAGTGAGGACCTTCGTCCAAGATCCTTTCACATAAGATTCATATGCATCACCCATGTCAAACAATTGCGCCTGTGCTTTTTTCTCAGGACAAAGAATGAGAGCAAGGGTTTCATAAGGCTCTCTAAAATACAAGATGAGATTCTGGCAAGGGTATGTATATTTGAATAACCCATCACTCATGTCGAATGAAAGAAGCATACGCTTTTTATTTTCGAAGTCAAATGCCCACCAATACCATGCTCCATTATTGTACCCTTTAAAACAACCAACTATGGACAATACTAACTCCAAAGAGCAACAAACTGTCAATTTCTCTCCGAGAATCAGTACCCAAAGTGTATATCTCAACCCTCGGAGGAGGAATAACCGGACCATACCGATTAATATCCCACAATCTAACAACCTTTATAACTTTTAATTTTAGGATCATAACCAAAAACTGCACCTGCATGCACACCCTTCGGGCCAAGTGACAATAGCCACTCATAGTGCATTCCCCCTCCTCTAGGGTTGGGGTTCGAACCCAGCCCTTGTAAAAATCTGTTCAGAAAAAAAAAAAAAAAACTGCACCTGCATTTCTAAGAAATGAATCTTTATCATCTGGAGGAGGAATCTGAATGCAGGATCCACGGAGAACCTTGACCTCGCCAATTCCTGGATTTGCTATAGTAACTTCATCATTGCAGGACAGATAATGCCATCACAACTGCTTGTTATTTCCATTGTACCATCAGGATCAAAGAACCTTACAATTTGGTTGGAAGTTGACAACAAGAGACATCTTCTCCTGCTTGTACTTCATGATCATATGTAACCAATGACAAAAACAGTTTCAGTTGAGGAGCTGCTTTGCCAGAAAATCCGGTTTTCCAATGAATGCATACCATGATTTGCACACGCACTTCAAGCGCAGTAACTAATCCATGGGAGCCGAGATAATTTCTCAATCAGTACTACTTCAGGTAGAGAACTAAACATGGCCATTTCTGCTGTTGTCTTTTCAGATCCATGAATAAATCAGAATTTTTTCCCCCAATCATTATAACATATCATGAAAGCAAAGTGACCCATCCTAACAATACATTTAATAAAATTCTGGAATTTAACTAATTTATAAACTACAGCAAACAAGAACCCTAATTTCTAAACTTTGTATTATTTAATTTCCAAATTCAAATTGAAAATCAACTTGATCAATCCTTCGTTGCCGAAATCTACCTTTTCAGCGACCCTTGATTCTCCTTGAGCTTACTATCTTCTCGAAATCAAAATTCTGTGTTGTTTATCTGCCTCCCTTCTTCAATCCCCGCGAACCCCAGTACTGTCTTCTTTTTCCACCTTGCATTTTCTTCCCCCATTTTTTTATTTTTTTATTTTTTATTTTATATTTTATTTGCCTCCTTTTATCTTAGACAGGGCTATATAATCCTTGGGCCAAAATGGACCCTTCAGAATTTGTAAAATTGGGCCTTTGGCCGATAACGACTCTTCCAATTTTAGCGGTGGGGACAAAGACTGTTTCGACCTCGTGTTCAACAAAAACTTACGTAAAAAATAACATGAGCTTCATTTTTCTTAACACCAAATTAATTTGGCTTCATTTAAGCTTGATACTTGTGTAATAGAACACCTTTGTATCTTAGTTTGTTTAGACCTGAGTTAGTCTCTCTGGAGCCTTTCAGGCTTAGTTGCATCATCTGAATATCAGATATGCAGTCTGCGAAGTAACGTCAGGCAACTTTCATATTGGCATTCCTAAGACTCTTGATATTGTTGAATTCAGATTACATTTTCTTTTGTACAATACCATATTATAGTTCTTGAGTATTGTTTGTCAGGAAAGAGCAGTTTCTGATATGAACAAAGCGTGATCTTCAAACTCAGTATGAGCAAGAAGAGAGACATGTAATTATTTTAGCTGATATGATTACGATCCATAAAAGGAAACCGCATTAAGAATAAGGACTGATACATCTCTTTGGCTCAATATGATTATGGATATATCCAGCAAACCTTGTTTTGGAGCTGTATTGAATCAATAACTGGTGGAGAAGGGCTTATATGACTTGAGATCAAGAACAACTCCTGCAATAGAGCCAGCAGCTATTGCAATGGTGACGATAAGGCAGGCAATGCTCAGGATTTGAAGGCAGAGCCATCTTGTGCTCCACTTTGGGATGTTCTTTTGTCTGATATACATCTCTACAGGGAAGTAAACTGTAAGTGGCCAGAATCCTAGAGCTTTGAAAACTAAAACCACACCTTTGAAGGGGAAAAGAATGGAGATGATAGTGGTGGTGATCACGAAAAGTGTCCTCCAAACGAACCTGAGGAGTTTTAGATTGTAAGAGTGAAAACCGGGGATAGGGATCTTAATTTCTTTGGTAAAGAATTCACAAGTTGGGAATCTTTCAGCTGCCTGTTCCTCAAGGAAGGCGAATAGAGGTCGGCAGTAAACTTGGTAAGCACCAACATGGTGAATGACAATGGCGGCATTGGCTATGTCAAGGAGCCAGAATGGGTTATAGAAGCCAAAACCAGTTAGGAGGTTTTCAGGGGATAAGTCTCCAAAAGCAGCATAACCTATACAGCCATAAAGCATGTAGAATATGGTAGTCACTGCCATGCTTATCATAGATACCTTCTTCATTGTCTTGGATTCTGATGGTTTGGATCTGATAATATCCTGTTAGATTATCACATCATTTAGCTCAAACTACATCATAACAAAATAAGAGCTGAATTTCGTTCAACAGATTTTGGAGATATTAAGGTAAGCAAGCATATAGATACCTGAATTTTAACGAGGATGAGAGAATAAGGGTAAGCAAAAGCAATGTCTCCAAGAGCCTGGAAACTCCTCCATATCTTCTGGGTTTGAGTTACATTGCCAATGCTTATTCCCGTTAGACTTCCCATGATTTTTCCAGTTTCTGAGAATAAATAAACCAAGAAAAATGAATAAGTTCAGCTTCTAACAATCCAAAAAAATTAATGAAGATTTAAGTGTTCATAAGGATAGCTATTAAGACCTGCAACTTTTGCAATTCCAAGACCAAGTCCAATTGATGAGTAAGTGAAGGACATGACTGCAGCAACAATGGCTAGCCACCACAACTGATCAAAGTCAGGAATCTGAGAGAAAATGATCTCCACAATTCCAAATGCAATAATATAAGGGTTGCTGTTGATATGGCACGGATTCTTGCCGCCACTCTCGTGGTAGCAATTAGACCTCTTAATAGCCCTGTTCATAACAAAACACGAAATGGTATTAGAAAATTTAAACAACTAAGAGAAAGACAAAAGTATCATCAAATTCTCATTTGAAACTCACATCATGCTAATTGCTGATGCAATGGTGTATCCAATAGCAACTCCGAAAAGGTTGAGGTATTGAACCCACCCACAAAATTTGACGTGAAACCCACCTGAAATTTAAGAAACCCAGAAGAAAAGCTTTGAGCTTTGAGCATTTCAAGAGGAACCCATTTCTTTCTTCTCTCCTCTTCTTCTTTTTTATTTTTTTTTTTTAATCAGAAAGTTGAGCAGTATTTCATTAATCAAATAGCAAACATATATTAGATTTGAATGCAGCCTAAAAGAGAAGATATTTATAACACTAATTATAGGAGAATTTACATCCATAACAATTAAATAAAAAAACTAAATATTACCTAAGTTTGATCGAACTGCATCCATGTAAGCATAGTTTCTCTCTTCGGTGATAGGGTCACCAGAACGGTAACAAGCGGGCAGAAGAGTGGAGGTGTAGTAAGTGACAAGAGAGAATAAGAACATGACGGTTGGACCAGCAACCCATCCCAGCTGAGCTGTGGCCCAGGCCAGGGATAGAACTCCAGAAGCTATCACAGCTGTAATTACGTGGGCACACACGGATCCTGCATATATAGTTACTACAAAAATTAGAAACTCAAAAGCTACGAAACATATTGTGTGAATTGGTTTATGAAGAGGTGGAGGAGTTACCAGTCCGCTTGAAAGGGCCGTCGTCGTCGAAGCATTCGGAGGCGGCGCCACTCCTTGGAGGGACATCAAAGACTTGGTGGGGGGGAAGCTGGATTTTTGAGGCAACTTGATCTTCCATCTATGTTAAGAGAAACAACCCAACAGCCAAAAAGGTTGGGTTTATTTATGGTGCGGTTGAGACTCCAAGACTCACAAAAACCCAAAATGGCTTGTTTGCCTGCAGAAATTGTTTGTGCACTCAGAAACTTTCTTTGAGGACTACGAAGAGAAATGA